ATAGTATATGAGGATTGGAGTGTCACGTTCCGACACCAGGATAGTATATGAGGATCGGAGTGTCACGTTCCGACACCAGGATAGTATATGGATCGGGTGCCACGTTCTGGTACCAGGATAGAATATGGATCGGGTGCCACGTTCCGGTACCAGGATAGTATATGAGGATCGGAGTGTCACGTTCCGACACCAGGATAGTATATGGATCGGGTGTCACGTTCCGACACCAGGATAGAATATGGATCGGGTGTCACGTTCCGACACCAGGATAGAATGAGGATCAGAGTGTCACGTTCCGACACCAGGATAGTATATGAGGAGCAGAGTGTCACGTACCGACACGAGGGGAATAAAGATAATGAATCTTGAAAGATGATAATATATTTTTAATCTAATGAACCTAATTCCCAAATGAGTATGATGAGGAGGCGTGAGTCCTCATTGATGTGCTTGGTGTTGTAACCAAGGGTTATGGTAACTGTAAATGCTGCATGCTAAGGATATTAGTTGATTTTATGATGTTATCTGATATATACTGTTTTCTATTTTGAGTTGGCCGATGATACCTACTCAGTAATTGTGTTTGTACTGACCCCCTACTTTTATGTTTTCTTCTTTGTTATTTGTGGAGTGCAGCAAACGTGCCATCGTCTTCAACTCAACCGCAACTCTAGCCAGTCTTCATTACTCCGGATTTCAGGGTGAGCTAAAGCTTTTAGCTTGGACTGGATCTTCTTCTTCATGTCTTGATGCCTTGAAGTTCCGGCATGGACTAGCTGTTTATGTATTTTAGCTTCTTAGATACTCTTAGATTTAGTAATTCGAAATAGATGTTCTTGTGATGATGACTTCCAGATTTTGGGGATAATAATAATAGTTGTTGAGTTTTTAGAAGTTAATGAATTGGTTTTTACTAATGAGTTTAAGTCTTCCGCATTATTTTCTGTTGATATTATATTGAAATGTTAAGGTTTAGATTGGTTGGTTCGCTCACATAGGAGGGTAAGTGTGGATGCCAGTTGCGGCCCGATTTGGGTCTTTTAGATACTTTTGAAAAACCTTTAAAGTATAGTGTTAGACTTGAACAACAATCATAATTATTAAGCAAATGAATCTGTGATACAAGTACCTGAAAACAAAAAATAAGCTGGAACAATGAAATTGACCGTTATTTTAATTAAATTCTATATCAAATTTCTATCAACTAATAAAATTTTGAGCCAAAAAATGTTAAAAGGACATTTTTCAACTATTTCTGTTAAGTTAAAGATATTTTTGAGGCCTTTCCGCGTTTAAATAAAGATAAAAACTTAAGTACAAAGTTTACACTGAAATACTAAAACAACAATTGACTGGGGATTGTAGTAACAAGAAAAGGACAATTATCTGACTATCCATCATGATTTTATTCATCAATCTGATTATTTGAATTTTTAACATAATCACATGGTTTAATGTTGGGTTTATTTGCTATTAGTATTGATTCAGACTCATGTAACGCAAGCCTTTGTCACCCACACAATCTCGTTACATAAAATTTCAAAAAGTTTAAAGTTGAATTATCGTAGAGCAAAAATTAAAATCAATTAAGGTCTACATTTATTGAAAGAGAAAGAAAATATTAACGGCTTGATGTTTAGCTAATTGTTATTGTGAATTTAGATTTGTAACAAATTCATGCTCCATTTATGATATTAATTATGAACTAATAATAACTTAAATGATGTGATTTAAAATTTCACATTTATTAGGTCCTTAATATCTCTTTAACTTTTTTTTTTTAAAAAAATGAAGATGCATGCATTAGAGAGACAGAAGAGGAAAAAAATTAGAATGGACTAATATTTGACCAAATTGAAATACATTAAACTTTGATGTTAAACAAAACAAGTAAAAACTTATGTACTAAAATCTAATGACTCAAAAGTGTAACACAAAAACTTTCTTCAACTCCAACTTAGCTAATCCTCAACAACTATGTATCACCAAATAAGCAGGAGGTACAACATATGCAAGCCTATAATTTGCTATAAACTTTCACCAACTTATAATTATAACTTGCAATCTCTAGCACAAGGGTAAGGGTCTTTATATTGAAACCCTGCTCTCTCAAAGTACCAATCCGCAACAGCTTCCGCAATTGTCTACACGTGTAAAATGTTACGATAAATTAAATTTATTATGAAACTCATCGAAAATAAGAATGACAGACACATGATAACAGTAATAAAAAAGAACGTGTATATTCAAGCTTCATATGGCTAGAACAAATGAAACATTACCTTATTAAGTAACCTTGGAGAGGTAGCACTGAACCAATATGTTGGAAAACGCATATCACCATGAGAATAACAAGACGTGAGGAAATAACCCCTTGTACAACAAGAAGGTAGTTTGTTGAATGTCTTCAAGAACTTCACTCCAAAAGCTAAATTAAAACAAAACAAACTAATAAAAAGGGAGAAGAAGAGTCATTATACATGTGTAACGTAATGTCGTATACATTAATTAACCTTGAATAATTATACGTTGGTTAGATGTGCATCTACTTATGTTGTTGATGCAATTCGCCCAAGCATGTTGAGGATCAAGATATAGAGGAACCAAAATGTTATTAATCTGGATCAATGTACAAAATAATTAATTTCGTTTAAATTTATATTTATGGAAGCTAAGGAAAGAATTAAAAATCGAGAAAAGTTAGCATTTGTCTACTTGACCTGCCAAGAATCATAAATTGAATTGATTATGAAAAGTGGAGTTTGAATATATGGAATAACATTCTGAGAGAAAAGGCACTGCACCATATATATCATCAATTAGGATATATATAATATATTTAATGAAAGAAAATGTTTTTGTTATAAAAGCTTAAGCTTTTACCAGACTTGGCTCCATTACAGACGTGCAAGCTGACGGCAAATTCTTAGTTAATCCCTAAGAACGGAAGAGGAATTAGATTTATCATGGTATCTACTTCTTAAAACATATCAAAATTACTAAAAGAAAAAAAGAAGAAGAAGATGTGACTCACATGTAGGTTAACAATTTTTTGGTACATCTCTTGAATATATGAAGTACCATAGATTGTGTTGCTGCATTATTATTAATCATGAACGAGCCAAGTGAATCGAATTTTCTTGAGATCATATATAAGAAGAGTGTGCTGACCTATTGATAAAAAAGGCAGCATCCGCGACACATTTTACTTTAGCACTCTCTGGAAGGAGATATTTAAACTTATCGCAGTTTAAGATTGTTGCCAACCCTCCTGCTGATGTTCCCGTTAGAATTGCCTAAATATTCAAGATTTAACCAAGTATGATTTTTCATTTTTATTTTGAAAAAAAATAGTATGATAGTATTAGGTAGCAATACATATTCTTACATTTTCAGCACTTTTTATTCCTTTGCTCCATAAATCTTCCATAATAGCCTTAAATATTCTTGCTCCTCTAAAGTACAACTTGTTCTCCTAACATTATTTGGAAAATTTAATCAGAAGAAAAATTAAGAAATTAATTAATATATACACATGTAGTATATATCTTACAGGGTGAACTTGTTCAACATCACTAGTGAAAGATGAACCGTCACAATACTTCACCTTCACCCTATTCCAATTATGAAAATCTACCAATTCCAACAATGTTTTGGAGTCAGAAGACGTAGGTTAAAGATTTTCATTAAAATGCACACATATAAGTAATAATGTGTATCACCTGGATTTTGTTTAGAAGTATTATGAAGTACACCCGCGAAAAAGTCGTGTTGTTTCATATGGTTGGAAGAACCTAAGGACGTAGTTGAACGATCAAGGCAATCTGGGATACTTTCGCACCAACTACCGCCCTGCGAATATGAATTTTTTTTATTCGCGATTACCTAATTAGTTATGTTAAATATATGAAAATTAATTGAAAAGAAGAATTTAGTAACTAACTTCCAAGTAGATAATCCAACTGCGAAATCCTGTACCATATCCTCTGTGAAGATGATATGCTGGTGGACTTCCATCGAGACATACTATTGACAAATTGAAACAAATGATTAGTATTTGTTTAGTTTTCTTTGAGTAATTCAAAAATCTCAGTATACTACCTGCACCTTGGGCAGTTGCGCTTTGGAGTATTGTGATATTAACGTACAAAAAATCATCTTTATTAGTGAGAACATGAGTTGCACATAATATTGCTAAAAAGGCTAGTAAAGCCAACACAAACGTTGTCATCCTACGGCAAACAAAAACAAGTGTAAATTATACTTAAAAGGGCTAAGGCATTAGGGATTATTACCAAATTTTCGAATTAAAATCAAGAAAATCTCAAATTATTAAAAGTGATGAACATTATATTGATCTTATATAGCTAGCTCAATAAATTAAAAACCATGTACCTCAAACCAAATTACAATTTAGGCAATTAAATGATATCCAACAATTCACATTGTAATAAAAAAAACTGCAATATCTCTCATTTGCAATGAGTGAAACCAAAAATGAGAAAGATGTGCTCAAGCACCCAACACATACAAGGGGCTCAAAATCGACGATCTTACTCAACACATATTTTTTTTTGTAATCTTACTTGATTACACTCATTGAAGATTTTTTATACAAAAGAAGATCAACGAGGATATTCACATATCCACTATATATATGGACTTGAAAGTATGTGCATATAATCACACACTATTTTTTTTTAATACTTAATAGATATATAAAAGGAGAATCTCTTTTTGCTTGGAAACCCAATTAAAGGTATAACATGAAAGGTGAAGACAAAAATAAACATGCCAAAAATTGAATTATGGCAACAAAGAGAACAAAGTAATCTTGATGAAGACAATAAAACATAGAATGTGAAAATATATACCTTATGACAAGCCCAGTGACGATTTTCATTTCAAAAATAGAGAACTCCATAAAGTACTCTTATGATACTAATCAAAACACTCCTTTATAAACTAATGATCACCCCAATTATCTCTTTAATTTTCTGCATTATATAATTTTCAAGAAGAAAAAAAAATTGAACAATTAGAAGTTGTTGCTAGTAAAAGAGTTGGATGAAGAATCATTTATATTTTAGTCTTTTTGACATTTTATCAAATTATGAAAGCAAATACAAAATGATGTGGTGAATGATCAACAAAAGAGATAAAGAGTTAAGTTACTATGAAGAGAAAGTTTCTTATGAATTATAGAGGTACATAGCATTTGGGTAATATGAAGAAACATGAACGATATTAATTATTATAATATATTTCCCCATATTAATGATGACTTTATTAATGTCCCATTTGAAACCATTGAGTGAATAGGGACCAAACAAATAATTCATCTATACAATAAAATTTTCAGTCCTTAATTAAGATATAATAAATAAATAATCTATGTATTTTTATTTGTTAACACAAGCATTACCAAAAAGGGTAATGCATTTGTCCTCCTCTTGGAATTCTAGAATCTTTCCATATTTATTTTCTGTTTATATATATATATGTATATATGGAAAATGGTCTAATATCAAAATCTATAGATTAATTGAAAAAAATTCAATGAACTTTTTAGCCTTAATAAAATGTATCCTCGCTCGTTTATATTATACTCAAATTAAAGGTGCGCTAGATACAAAAAGAATTATGACAAATTTGAGGTGGCTTAAATTAAAGGTGCGCTAGATACAAAAAGAATTATGACAAATTTGAGGTGGCTGAACAAATTTAATTTGTGAAATGAACAAGTAAAAGGTAAAACGTCTAATTTTGACATAATGGTCAAGGAAAAAATAAAACGGAGAAAGTAAAGATTGAATGAAGAGAAATCAAATGATTTATTCATTTGAACATAACTAAGAGTTTTTTTATCTCTTAAATAAAATTAATGAATAATTCATCTATACCGTGTGTTACATATTTAAATTCGATCAATTGCACATACTCTCTCTCTATATGTGAAACACTTGTTTATGGTGACTACAGTCTGAAAATACTAAATAGAGTGTTTATCAATCGCATACGTTAAAAGCAATGCATAAATAATAATAAAAGATCCATTCAACGCTCTAATTGATTCTCTAAGTATATAGTCTTTTTAACGTTCTAATTAATTCTCTAATTAAGTGTCAGAAGTATATCATATATGAATTAACGTCTTAAGAAAACTCCATATCTATACTCTATCACAAAGGTTTTCGTATGAGTTTGTCATCCTACTAAAACAAGTTTAAATTTTACCTAAGCCATTATTCTTTTCTTTTATGTATATGTCCCATCAAAAAAATATAAAAACCTTTGTAGCGCTACTATAAAGTATTGACGTTCATGAAAACTATTTATCTTAAAAGTAATTATTTTCGTTTCAATCAAAAAGTAATTTCAAAAGTGATCATCATAATTATCGATAAAATGGTATGTAACTATACTAGCGTAACCGCATATAGTCCAGAGTGCTCAATTATGCACACGTGATACATAAGAGCAATGGTAATTTTGAAGTGCTTCAACAATTGTACATTGTAGGGAATATAAATTTGAAGAACCATAATTAACTTTAATTTATCAATGAATTGCATACACAGTAATGAAGTAAATAAGAATAATAAGAGTTGCCAAGTGTTTGAAATGAGTTTTTATTTAGATGATTAACGAACAAATGTCACTAGAACATAAACAACCTTTAACAATCGGAATTTGGTTCCTAAATTGGGTGCATAGTTACTTTTTTGGTCCAGCAGTGTAGTAGTTTCAAAGTAATATTCATGTTTTTTTATATTTTTTGCCTCTGTAGCATTGTCAAAGCTAAATTTGACTATAGTATATTTATGTAGTAACTTAATATTAAGGAAAAATGAGAAAAATTAAAAAAAATTCTTTTGCAAAATGAATTGTAAAATGAAATATTTATTTTTGATTAACGGTCAACTAAAAATTAAATGGAGGGAGTAATTATTAGCAGTTCTCTTTTGGACCATTGAATGAAGAGGGACCAAAGGTTTGATTCATCTCAACACAATTAAGAGTTTTTTTTTTAATTTCTTTATTAAATTTAATGAACCATTTATTATCTATTAATTGCTTACATCATATTTATGTGGCAGCCTTGTTTTTTAAAAAGGTAAGTCTAAACCATACATTATTATGCTATAAAAAAAAGTAATTAGCAAGATTTTTTTTTTAAAGCAACAAGCAAAATGAAATGCACTCACAAAGAAGAACATTTTTCACAAAACTTTGAAATGTAAGTTTAGTGAGGGTATGCTTAAGAGGAAAAACGTGTGCTGCTAAAATAATTTCATGAATAAATATTAAGCGAACAGGGTATTAGCAGGGTCATTTTTACATTAAAAATTTAATATTATTTTACTAATACCATTTCGAATTTACAATATTAATAACATTTGTAAATATTCATTTTTCACTTAAAAGGAAAAGATTTATTATTGTAAAGGACTATAAGGTAGTAGAAGGGGCATTTTTGGAATTACGATTTATTAGGCAGCCTTTTCTTTTTTTCTCTTATTACTTTTACTCTTTTTGTTATAGAACTAATTTTGGATTAAAATGTTAAAATTATTTTAATGAACACAATGAACCATCACTTTAAATTCATAATGTTAATAACATTTGTGAGTATTCGTCTACATTTAATGAAATAATTTGTTATAAGATACATATACATAACTTATTTCAAAAAGTGTTGTTCAAATCGAGAAATTTGAATAACAAAACTCTAGATATTTTTCATTAGAATAAGTATCTCTATTAATAGCTGATTAAGAGCTACAAAATTATATAGAAGTGAATATAATATTCAAATTTCATTCATTAATAATTAGTTTTACAAAGCACTATTTAACGATCCTTAGCAAAGGGATATGGATCGATATATTGATGATTTTCGATTCGGTCAAAGAACCAATCACCCACCACTTCTGTGTAATAAATAAAATGTTAGAAATAAAAATTAAATAGACAAATAAAACAAAAATAAAAAATTACTATCTTATTATATAGGGGAAAATGTATATAATAGCAAACTAATAACATAAAATAAATGGAATAGCTAGGGTTTGATTTAATTGTGCTCCATAGCAAACGTTAGCTAAAATTTGCCAGCGTCTCTCTCTCAGTAATCTCGCTCGCCACTCTCCATTCTAGCTCGCCTCTCTCGCTTTATACACAGAAGTGTATAATTCTGTTTCTGTTTTTGTATAAAGCGAGAGAAAATTGTATATACACATGCAAAAATATATATCTTCGTGTTATACACTTAATTATACAATTTACAAACATTTTACTTCAAATATTGCAGAGAAAAAGGTCCAACGAATTATACAATTGCGAATTATACAATTGCAGTGAAATACAATTTTCTCTAGCTTTATACAACAGAAGTGTATATATTGTGTTTCTGTTTTTGTATAAAGCGAGAGAAAAAACATATATCTTCTTGTATACATTTAATATTGCAGCGAAATAGGCAGTGAATTATACAATTGTGCATTATACAATTGAAGTGAAATAGGATAGCGGATTATACAATTGCAGCGAAATAGGCCAGTGAATTATACAATTTAGGCCAGCGAATTATGCACTTGTATATGTATAGCGAATTATAAAGTTTTATGTTTGCTATGGAGCGCAATTATGCAAAGTTTGCTATAGCATACAAATATGAATTTTTTGTTTGCTATATATGAAAGTTGCCCTATTATATATTGTTGGACCGGAAGTATCGAACCAATACTTGTCCCATATAATATCTTGATGTATGTGACAAGAGGTGATAAAACAACCTCTTAAACTTAAAAAAAGATTTATTGATCATTCTGGTTCACCGAAATTTTGTAATTTTTATTGAAATGTATATATATGAAATATTCGTTAATATTTGACTGTAAATTATACAAAAATTGAAAAGCAATATGGTAATCGAAATTTTTTTAACATTATCAATAGTGTAGGATAAAAGTATAACTATTAGCTAGATTGTGATTTCAAATTGCAAATACGTCGTAATTCAAAGTTGAGGGGAAAAATAAAGAATATAATTTTACTTTATGAATGTTAATTTGTCCCGCAAGATAATTCAAAATATCTTTTGATCTCCATTTTATTACAATGTTATAACAAAGAAGTGAAGGATAAATGTACGTAAATACTTAACAATCGAATACTATATTAAAAATAAATAAATAGTTAAGTCTAAGTGTGATTACTCTAATTAAT